AGCATTGAACAATGTTTGGCTATCTTGTGTGATTTTGTCGATCTTGGAGGCCACCTTGGGATATCTGGAGCCGTATTGGCCCATCCTGGATTCCCCAACGACCTGCGAACGCCCCCCCCTACCCTCCATCCAGACCCACGGAGAGGGAGTAGGGGAAGACTAGATGTACACGCTCCCTGAAGGGGGACATCTCTTGTCGAGGGGCTAGCTCCGACGGGCTAAGGGGATTCGGGCCAGGCGAGCTGGGAGCCATGAGGACCATGTGGGCAGATGCCTACGCCAAGGAACCGCCGGGGCGTTCTTCAGGTCAGGCAGTGATGCACTCACACCATCGCCGAGCTGCCTCGGCGCCTGACCCCGGGTGAGAGCCTGGGGCACCGGGGCCTAGCACCCAGAGTGCCAAGAGACTCCTCGGGGGTCCCCAAACGGGGTGGTGACCACACCGTGTGGTGCGTCGGTGGGGATTCGGGGTCACCGCACGGTTTTGGGTCTCGATTCCTTCTCCGAGGATGTCTCAGGCGATAGGGGAGCTCCCGAGCGAAGTGACCCCCCCCCCTCCCCCTCCGACATGGTGGGGGGTAGGGGTGGGGTTCGCATGTGGCCCCAAAGATTGCCAACGCTGCCCAGGACCCATTGAACGACGCAACGAAGCGTGGCAGATTGCGCCGACATTGGCGCTTAAGCTGCTCGCGTAAGGTCGCGCGCAAGCGCCTTCGTCTCCAATGTAGCGTGCCACGCTGACAGCCCGCGTAAGCCACCGCGCAAGGCCACCATGCCATCTCGCCTAAGACCCGTTTATGATCGTCGTTCAATTGGAGTCGTTATCGGGGGCCGACCGCCGATCCATCGGCGATGCATCGCCGATTTACACTCGATGTTTCCTCCCCTGAGCTGTGCGCCTCCTGACGTTCCCCCTCACTGTGTAGAACGGAGCTGCCCCAGCACAGAGACCGCTCCACAGTGCGAGAGTGGACCAAGCGAGGAGCCTCACTGGACCTTGGGGTGTCACCTCGCTTTTGTTAGCCCAGGCCCCATAGGCGGCGCTTGCTTCATGTGCTCTGCGAGCGTTGGGAGGCACCATATTCACAGGCAGAGCAGCAGCAACAGCGAACGGCGTGGGAGGAGAGGAGAGGAGAGGGGAGGATTGGGGAGAGTGCGAGAGGATGATGAGGCTGATGCTGCTGATGCTCATGACAATGGTGCGCATGATGGTGTGATCGTGAGGGTGATTCTGGTGATACGGTGATTCTCGTGATGGGGATTCTGATGTTGATCTTATTGATGATGATGATGATGATGATGATGATGATGATGATGATGATGATGATGATGCTGATCGTGATGGCGATGATGATGACGATGCTGTTGATGGTGATGGTGGTTCTGATGAGGATGGTGGTGAGTGTCATGGGTATGATATTTGTGATGATGCTACTGATGTTGATGATGGCGATGATGGCGATGGTGGCGATGATGATGAAGATGCTGATGATGATGACGACGGTGACGATGACGATGACAATGACGATGCCGATTATGATGATGATGATGATGATGATGATGATGATGATGATGATGAGGCTGGGGATGCTGATGATGATGAGGATGATGATGATGATGGTCATGGTGATGGTGATGATGGTGATGGTGATGCTGATGATGATGATGGTCATGATCGTGATGGTGATGATGATGGTGATGGTGATGATGATGGTGCTGGTGATGATGATGATGATGACGATGCTGCTGAGGATGATGCTGATGATGATTATCATGATTATGATGGTGATGTCGATGGTGATGATGATGATGATGATAATGATGATGATGATGATGCTGATCATGATGATGATGATGATGATGATGATGATGATGATGATGGTTGTGATGATCATGAGGATGAGGATAAATATGAGGATGGTCAGGAGAAACAACACGGTGCGCCGCGCGGTGCAGCCGCAATGGGTGTCCGATGGTCGGACACACCCTATCATTGTGTCTGCACCCCGCCGCGCGGGTGTGACGACCACCGTTAACCAGAGAGCGACCCAGCCAGGCAGTAGGGGCGCGAGGAGTGGACGAGGCACGGCGACTGCAGATATGATGACCCACACAGCGTCATCAACCAGCGAAGAAGGGACTCGAGCACCAGCGACAGGGCCACGAAGCAGAGAATCGTAATGACGATAACGTCCACGAACACCACGAAGGATACCTCTACGGGCACCGGCACGAAAAAACACGTCCGCGAACATCCTCCTGGAGGCGGCCTCCACGAACGCCAGCGTGAAGAAGCCATCCGCGAGCAGCCTTCCAGAGAACTCTTCCACGAGCACACTGGTGAAGAAGACCTCGACGAACACTCCGCAAAGTATACCTCCAATACCACTGGCACGAAGAAGGCATCCACGAGCATCCTGCCAGAGAAGGCCTCTGCGAGCACTTTAGTGAGGACCTCCACGAATACCCGCCGGAGAATGCCTCCGCGAACGCGAGTAAAACAAATTTCTGCTAATATCTTGTTTTGTAGAAAACCTCCGCGAGGACATCCATGATGAAAACCTTTGCTATGACGCTTCGAAGAAGGCCTTCGCGAGCACCAGAACCAAGAGAACCTCCACGAGCACCCTCCTGGAGAAGGCCTCCGCGAGTACCTTCAGGAATAGGACCGCCACGAGCACCCTCCGAAAAATACTTACGAACGCGGGAATGAAGAAGACCCCCGCGAGCACCCGTCCAGAGAAGGCCTCCACGAGAGAGAGAACCGCCACGAACACCCTCCCAGAGAAGGCCTCCGCGAGCACCTTGATGGCGAAGGCATCCACGAGCACCTTCCGAAGAGGCCTCTATCAGCACCAGCGTGGCGAAGAAAAAAAAGAAGGATATTAATAATACGACGAAGAAGGAGACGAACGTCACTTCCACGAGCACCCTCGAGGAGAAGGCCGCCGCGATCGTCATCGAAATGGAGGCCGCCTCGAAAGCGCTGCACGGTTGCCCTGCCCACGCAAACATCCAGGGACCGCTCCGCGTGGAAGAGCACGGCAAGGGGAGCGGTTGCAGGGCGTCCCCGACATCAGAACAACCTATCTACATAATGATGCTGTTGGCAGCCAGAAGATAGCGTTAAGCCGAGCCTGTCCCTCTACAGGGGGAATGTCCAACAATAGTCAAAACATAGCCTGGGGACTCATTTTCTTTTCCAATGTTTGAGCCTTGTTGTCTCATTGTCTGAGTATTTTTGATTTTTCGTCCGAAATTCCCCTGTACGGGGACAGACCCGACCTAAAGATAGCGTGAGACTGGGCGGCGAGGAACCGCGAGGGTTAGCACGCCACGCTGCTGGACCCGTGTTGAACATCGCGTCGCCGGCGGCGGCCAGGGGCTTGTTGTGCACGTTGCCCCTTTTCGGCTCGACGGGGAGAGATCGTGTCCCTGACGACTGCTGCACCATCTTGCACAGCATGAAGCGGAGAGACTCCGCGTACGGCCGTCGGCTAGTGAGACACCAATCCAGCAGAGGTGGCTTCTCCACCTGATCACATGACAACCAAACGCATGATACAGCTCGTTGAAGAAGCGCCGAGAAAGGGACAAGGATTGTAGTCGAACCACACCTTGGCCGTTGCAGACTGCTGCCAGACACTAAAGGTGGACACTGATGACTATCGGTGGCGTACTGCAGGGATCAGCGCGCTGTTGGGCTCTGGCTGGGGGCCGCAGCCGCGCGGTGCCGCCGCCATGGTGGCCCAATGGCCCGACGCCAGCCAAGCAGTACGGGCCCGAGGATTGGACGGGCGCGGCGACTACTGAGATGATGATGATGATGATGATGATGATGATGATGATGATGATGATGATGACGATGACGATGATGATGATGATGATGATGATGATGATGATGATGATGATGATGATGCTGATGATGATGATGATGATGATGATGATGATGATCATGATGATCATGATGATCATGATGATCATGATGATCATGATGCTGATGCTGATGCTGATGATGATGATGATGATGATGATCATGATCATGATGCTGATGCTGATGCTGCTGATGCTGATGCTGATGCTGATGATGGTGATGATGAGGATGAGAATGGTGGCGCTTATGATGATGGTCATCATGATGATAACTATAGTGATGTTATGGCGATTGTGACGGTGATGGTGAGGTCGCGATGCTGGTGTTGATGATGGCGTTTATGTTGATTGTGGCGGTGGTGATGCTGTTGATGGTGACGATCATGTTGATGATGAGGAGGGGGATGATGAGGAGGTCGAGCAGGACACCAGGGAGCAGGGGGAAAACTGGGTATGGATGCAAGAGGAGAGGAAAGGGCGAACTGAACAAATGACTCCGTCATCCTCGTTTTGCTCTCCCTGCTCCTCCACCGCCCCTTGCTTCCCCTCCTCCTCCTCCGCCTCCTTCTGCCTCCTTTTCGCCAACTCCTCAATTTACCCATCCCATCCTTCTGCCCGCCTTCCCCCCCCCCCCCTCCTACTCTCCTCCCCTCCCGCTTCCCTCCCCCGCCAGCCCCGCGCGGGGGCCCCCCCCTCTCTGGCACCAGGCTCGCGCTCCGCGTCCGCGCGCCAGCCCGCTGCCGCCAGCGGGGCGCCGGTGCGCGCTTGCCTGCCCCAGGCCGCCGCCACTCAGCGCCCTCAGGACCACCAAGTCCTCTCCCCCTCCTCCTCCTCCTCCTCCTCCTCGTCCTCGTCCTCGTCCTCCTCCTCCTCCTCCTCCTCCGTAGCCATTTTGGCTCAAGGCTGATGCTTTGGCGGGCTGAGCCCGCATTGGCATTCACGGATACCGCTATTCCGCGGCAGTGCCAGGACGCTTGCGTCCGACAGAGTTTCTTGCCTACACCGAGGAGTTGGGCTCCCTCACTGAGTGTGTTGCTGCATTCATGGGAGGCAAGAAGTATGGCCGCGCCTGGAGTCGTTGCGAGGGCTGCCAGAACTGGATCTGGAACACCAAGCTCATCGCTCAGGACTGCGTCTGCCAGTGTGGACACACAGTCCAGCAGTGGGCGCCTTGGAACTCCGTGGCCAGGCACAAGAACGATACCTCCAGCACCAATGAGAAGAAGCTGCGCGACCTCCTCAAGGCTGATCTTCCCCCTGCCGTGGCAACTGCGATCCAGACGGAGCTGCAGCAGGCGAAGAAGCCGCCGCCCACGGACGCTTGGGAGGCGGCGCAGAAGGCCAAGCAGGAGTTACGCAAGACCGAGCAGGCCACTCAGAAGGCGGCGATGGGAGTGCTTCGGGCCCGCGCCGACCTCGAGACGGCCTCAGAAGTGCACGCGTCCAAGGTGGAGCAGCAGGCGATGGCGGAGCTCGCCTACCAGAAGGCGCTCTCCACGCTACAGACGGAGCAGGCACGCGAAGCACCTCAGCGGAACAAGCTCATCATCGACTACGACATTTTCGAGACCGCAGACCCTGCGGACATGGACGAGAACGAGCGCAAGACTTTCATGGAGTACAAGAAGGAGTTCGACACCGCCAGGCCACAGCTCGAGTCGGCGGTGCAGAAGCTCCAGAACCTCATGGAGTCCATCAAGCGCTTCGACCAGGAGCGCGTCGCCAAGAGGAGGCGCCAGGAGGGAGGCGATGAGGCGCCATCGGTCGAGGCAGGCCGCGGCGGCGGCGCTGGCGCCCCACCTGCCATGCCTGCGACCCCAGGGGCTGGTTCCGCCCCAGCGCCCGTGCCCCCTCAGCCCCCGCTGGACGGCGAGTGGCTCAAGTCGCTCTCCGAAGACTCGCTACGCCAGGCTGCCGAGACCTCCAAGACCAAGGCTGCTGGCTTGGCTGCTTGCGCTGGCGCTCCTGCTCAGCCAGAGCGGGGGTCGTGAGGCCAGCCCCGTCGCCGCTCAGCCGACTGTGGAAGAGGCCCAGCTGTTCTTCTCGAACATCACTGAATGGGGCCCTCAGGCTGAGCGGTGGGTGGCGTCCACTGGCAAGCGCTATCAGCTACTGGCCTTGGTCGAGACACATATCTCGCAGGCCAAACAGCAGCATGAGTTTCTTAAGATCGACAAGGATGATTGGAGATCCTCCACATGCTACGCAATGCCGACGGGTCGATCTGCAGAGGGCACGACGGGCGGAGAGATGGTTCTAGTTCGCAAGTCGGTGGCTGCTTCCACCTTTGACGCTATGAGACACCAGAGCCGCCAGTTGTATGCAGTTGATCCGTGTCATGGTTTCGCCCCGATGACGTGGCATCGCAAGACAGGCAATCTAGTCGTGACAGCCTTTTATATCGAACCGCACCACTCGATTACGGGCCCAGTTCATGAGCGGATGGTTGCACTCACCGCTTTCTTGGACATGCTGGCGGACCCGTGGATTGTCTTAGCAGATTGGAATATGTCACCGTGTCAACTGGCTGACAGCGGCTACCCTGAGGAGTGGGGTGGCTCCATTCTGGTGGCCCCTGGTTCTGCAACGTGTGATAAAGGCTCGGGCTCGACCATTGACTACGCGGCGGTGAAGCGCGGCTGGGAGATGTCCGCGGTCATTCGCCAGGTGCACGATGTACCGTAGGGAACGCACTGCGGCCTGGAGGTCTGCGCGGGCGAGTCTCAGCCCTGGCGATTTCGTGCTCTGGCACTCCCTGCAGATTTGCCTTGCCCCCCCAGGCCGCAGAGACAGGCGGACCCCAACAGTAAGACATCATTGAGGAAGAAGGCAGCGCTAGACAAGAGGCGCAACCAGTTGCCTGACACGCTGCAGGAGGTGTTTGATGAGCTCACCCAGTCACAGGAGGATGCAGCTGCGCCTCCAGTCTTGGTTGCAGCGGATGTTGACTATGTGGACGGCGTCGATTTTGCCATTCCTCTGGATCTCTGGAGGCGGCGTCAGGACGACATGAGGAGCACGCTGAGCACTCCAGACGAGAATGGCACGCTGGGCACCTACGAAACGCAGGGGGCCCCAGAGAAGGCAGGCTCGCAGCGCCCGCCAGGGAAGACTCGCCTACTGGAGGGGGCCCAATCTGTCTATTGTGGGACGGTCGAGGAGATGGATGGCATGCCATTAAGGGGGGCGGGGGGCCCAAGAGCCCATACGGGTGGCCACGGGCCTCAAATCGTGGGAGCGTGCTCGCCCCCCTCGGAGCTGCTCGACAACGTCGGGACTGGTGCGGATGGAGTTGTTACAGATACTGCCATACACGCGACGGGCCCCTCGAGAGACAAGTGGAGCACTCTCGACGTGAATGACGCGCTGAACACCTACGACACGGCTGGCCCCCCAGAGAAGGCAGGCTCGCAGCACCCGCCAGGGAGGACTCGCCTGCTGGAGGGGGCCCCATTGGTCTTTCGTGGGATGGTTCAGGAGTTGGATGTTATGTTATCAAGGGGGGCGGGGACCCCAAGAGCCCATACGGGTGGCCACGGGCCTCAAATCGTGGGAGCGCGCTCGCCCCCCTTAGAGCTGTGCGACAAGGTCGGGGCCTGTACTGATGGAGCTGCGGTCAGGATGCATGCGACCCAACCGAGGCCTTCTGAGCTATCTTGGGGTCTACCTCCCCACTTTCTGCATGAGAGGGACCCTGAGGCGACCACGCTTGTTTCGACCCACTATGCCAAGTGGATGTCGACCTTCGAGGCAACGGTTTTGAGTCACCATGCGGTCCCTGTAGCGAAGCAAGCCGCCTACTCTGGTAGAGCAAATGGGGTTCACTTCCAATGGAAGAAGACTGCGGCTTGCCCTGGACGTACTCATATAAAGCACGAGCCTGCAGAATGGTGGGCCATTACCTTGACATTGGTTAAGAAGATTATCGCGCTGTGCAAGCATCAGAAGCATGAGAACCTCATGAGGTCCAACCTCACCCTATTGCAGCTGAGGGTCACGGACTTCCACGGGAAGAGAGACTTACTGCTGCCGAAGGTCGAGGAGGATGAGGTATTCAGGTGGTCTGAGCTGGTACGCACCATCACGATCCTGGATGACGAGGAACGATCTGAACTCATATGCCGCACTGAGGCTTGGTCTGGCCGCGCTGCCGCTCATGCCGCGTACCAGTCCAAGAAGAGGTACTCGGGTTGGCTCGCCGACATGTGGAAGGCGAAGCCTGGAGTCCTGCATCGACAGGTCAAGACGCAGGAGCAACAGAGGCTCGATATCTACATCAGTGGCGCGACGGTTACCAACCCGAACCTGATCATGGATGCGAAGCGGCAGGAGTGGGAGAAGGTTTGGGCACCTCGCGAGACCAAGCAGCAGATATCTGGATGCTCTGGATAAGGCTCGTCGTCAGACTAGGGAGGAGCCCCCTGATGCCATCCAACTGGAGCAGCTGAAGCGCACCCTGTCTATCATGCCAGGCTCCAAGGCGAGAGTGTGGACATGATTGGGCCACGGGATATGCTGCGCCTACCTGATGTGGCCCTCCAGCAGTACACTGACATGCTCAACGTCATCGAGACTCAAGGTGTCTGGCCACCTCAGGTCATGGCCACTCTGGCGGCCATGGCGCCGAAGAAAGCAGGAGGTGATAGAGTAGTAGGTGTTCTTCCTCACACCGCCCGCATCTGGAGTCGTATCAGAGGAGCCGCTTCAGATATGTGGAGTGATGGATTGCATGACTTCTGGTGTACTGCGATGAAAGGCTCATCGGCCCTCTCTGCAGCACTGCATCGAGCTTTTCTAGACGAGCCGGCTGTCACCATGGGCCTGACAGTTGGCACCCTACGAATGGACCTGGCGAAGTTCTATGACCATGTTAAGTTGGCTAGGCTCATCGAGGTTGGATTGGATGAGGAGTTTCCTGCCATATGCCTCCTGTTGGAGGTTCAGCTTTTTCTTAGCCCCAGGATTCTGCGAGCACAGGGCTGGGCCGCTGAGCCCATCTACGCTCTCCAAGGAATTGTTGCAGGCTCCCCTCGTGGTGTCATACTGGCGAGGCTGTTCTTGCTCCCCATCCTCACGCACGCCCAGCGGCGGGCGGAGGGAGCTACGATGTGGACCTTTGTGGATGACACGGTGGCACGATCGGAAGGCACGGCAGCGTCAGTGTTGCAGCGATTGACCAGGGCGGGAGCCGAATTGAAGGCTGCTCTGGATCATGCTGAGCTCCCTGTCTCCGACAAGACCGTTGTCCTCTCTAACAACAAGCAAGTGCGCGCGAAGCTGGAGCGCAATCTTCGACGCCGCGGGGTGCCTGTCTCGGCTGCGACGACGGCCACCGACTTGGGCATCGACATGGCAGCTGGCACGCGTAGAGTTCAGAAGAAAGCTGGTGAACGGGCTCGAGCGGCTACTGCCAGGACCAAGCGCATAGTGAAGATGCGCAACACAGCCCAGCAGGCACGTATAGCCAAGGGCCTCTGGGCCACAGGCGCCTTGCCTCAGGGAGTCTATGGCCATCAAGTCCGAGGGTTGGCTCGGCATGCGCTGTTGAGATGGAGGAGGCAGGCAGCAGCAGCCGCCACGGGTCAAGCTGCGGGGCGCTGCTTAACCACGCTACTTGGCTCCACGTTCGACGGAGCGGATCCTGGAGTCCAGCTTCGGGTGCAGTCTTTGCGACAGTGGATCAGATTTTGGCAAGACCAGCCTCACCTCCATCAGCGCGTTCGACGGACGTGGGCCCTGCTGAAGACGAGGTTGACCATGGCAGGCCCGAAGATCTGGTCGTATGTCACGGGCCCGACTGGGGCCGCTATTGCTACACTCTTGGAAGCTGGCTGGGATCCCAAAGCGGCTGACTGCTGGCAACGGGTTCACGACGAATATTTGGAGCAATGGACACTCCCAGATGACGGAGCAGAGTTGGTTTACCTCGGCTACGAGTCCGTCCTAGACGATCTCGCGGAGGACCTCCAGGGCAGGCTCTGGGCGACGGCGGCGGCGCACGAGCACGGCGCCTCCCTCGCCTGCGGGGCCGACCTGACCATGATCAGGATTGAGCAGCGGAGGTTCCTCGCTTCGGGAAAAATATCGTCTTGGGCATTGAACAATTGCGTAGTCTCTGGGGGCCAGTGGACCCGTGCGCGCCTCCATCAGTCAGGGTATCAAGTCAATCGTTTGTGTGATCGTTGCAGCGCTGGAGCCATCGAGGATCTTCCGCGTCGCATTTCGAAGTGTTCGGCGAATGAGGGCCCCGAGGCCACAGCTAGTGATCATTTGGTCCCCCAGGCCCTGGCGGGCTTGGAGCAGGACCCCGCCCTTTGGCTTAGAGGTGTGCCCAGTCTCTCCTCCACTACTCCCTCCTTTGCCCCGTGGGACGGGGGTGGGGTGGAGGTGGTGGGTCCTGATTACGAAGGTAAGCCCCGCTGGGAAGCCTGCAGAGACCCCCATGGGCGCCTCACGCTTTTCGGGGACGGCTCTGGAGGAGCATTTTCAGATGATCCTCGGAGGCGCCGATGTGGATGGTCGGTCGCGGCTCTCGCCCCAGACGGGGCTGGTCGTTGGCGAGGCCACACTGGCATCTTCGGCCCGCTTGAAGGCCGACGGCAAACTGTTCCGCGAGCTGAATTATTGGCGTTCTGTGTTGCGGTTGAAGAGAGCTCGGGGCCCCTGACGTTTGTGACCGACCACAACCCCCTCCTCAATGGGTGGGGCCAGGGTTGGACTCGGAGGCCCCTTGGAGCTTGGCCTCGGCGTCTCAAGAACTGGGATCTTTGGGCCAGGCTGCGCAGGGCGTTGGGGCAACAACCTGGACGCGATGTGGCCTTGGCGTGGGCCCCGTCTCATCAGGATGAGACGCCAGAGGCTATCACCAACCCTTTTTATGCATGTGGCAACATTGTCGCAGATGCATGGGCAGGCCAAGGAGCTGCCAAGAATTGGACGGCAGCGCGAGAGCCTCTCCCCTGCACTGATCAGTGGGATGCAACGGCGGCCTTGGTGCGTGCCCGAGCAAGGGCCATCATCAAGAGTATTGGCCCTGAGCAGGTCTTGCGTGGGGTGAGAGTTGGCGTCGCTCGTCAGGCCCCGCTGTCCACTCGTGCCCTCTGCCTGAGAGCCTCCACTCACACGTTCGAGCGTTGTGCTGCTAAGTGGCGCTGTGCCAACTGCGAGCTTCTCGTTGGTGACTGCCGTCTCGACGAGTCGGCACTCACGCAGTGTCCTGGGCCGCCCCCCACTCAGGGGTCGCTGTCCGTGGAGGCCCCGCGTCGGTTCGGGGAGGCGGCGGTGGTGGAGGCTCGGGGGAGGACTCAGAGGCCAAGAGGCCCACCCGTCACATCAGCTTCTCGAGATCCCGCGTTGGCGGGTCTTGTTTTGCTCGCATTGCGGGGCCAATGCTACGTTTCGCTTTGTCAATCTGTTGCAGGAGTGTGGCGAGCCGAGTCCCAAGGGGAAGGAGGTCCTTGCTCGGATCGCCAAGGGCCTGCATCCTTCCCACAAGGGCCCCTCTGGGGCCATCGCTGAGGCGGCGCACAGAGACGCCGCCCAAGAGGCTCGAGCTCGTGCGCTTGTAAGGGGCAGTGGTTTGTCCCAGGCCCCTGGACCCCCACCCGAGGGAGATGGAGGGGCCTCGGGGTTTGTCTCGGCGGTGGACGCATTGGAGGAGTCTGGGATCCAGGTGGTGAGAGGGGAGATTCGGTCGGCGTTTTTGAGGCTGGGGCGGCCGCCTGCGATGGCGTGCCGAGCGCCTCGATGGCCTCCTCATCAAGGCACGCGCCGCCGCCCTCCCCCTCCACCTCCTCCTCCGACTAGGCGTCTGCCTCCCCCCCTTCCGCGCGACCCCTCGGTCGCTTTGCATTTAGGCCATTTAGTCCTCCTCCTCCTCCTCCTCCTCCTCCTCCTCCTCCTCCTCCAGGGTCCCCCAATTAATTACGCGGATCTCAGGACAGGGAGGCAGTGCACTTTGCCTGCCCCAGGCAGCCGCCACTCAGCGGTCTGCCTGGCTAGGGAGGGTCTGTGGCTCAAGGGTGGGGTCCTCAGGCCAAGGGAGAATGATTTTCACCGTTTTGCATGGCTACACTGCTTGAACTTTTAGGGCTTCTCATTCTTTTCAATTTTCTCACGAACAACGCTGCTATGCCGCTCTGGCGGCTATGTTGTCGTCGTCGCCGTCCCGTCGCTGCCTCGTCGCCGCCCGTCGTCTGGTCTGGAGTGCCGCTCTGGTGGCTATGTTGTCGTCGCCGCCAGGGTGGGGTCCTCAGGCGAGGGAGCCAACTCCCGGGGGCCCTCAGGACCACCAAGTCCTCTCCCCCTCCTCCTCGTCCTCCTCCCCCTCCTCCTCGTCCTCCTCCTCCTCCTCCTCTTCCTCCTCCTCCTCCTCCTCCTCCTCCTCCTCCTCCTTCTCCTCCTCCCCCTCCTCCTCCTCCTCCTCCAGGGTCACGCAATGAATTACGCGGATCTCAGGAAGGGGAGGCAGTGCACTGTGCAGGCCCTGGAGGCCCTCCCTTGTG